TGTGACACAATCCTAGTAGGACTTCTACTCCTCCATGCAGAGTCCTCCTAGGATTCATACTCCTAAAGATAATGCTTATCCTTTAACACCCCCTCACTGCTTAAACCAAGTGAGATGATTTTTACCATGGCCGAACTCCAACATGACCGAAGTAAGCATGGCTATGCTGAGCCACAGAGTAGGCCGAACTACCCTTAGTTCGGTTCTTCTTTTTACTGCTCTTACGTCGGCTTCTCATGAACAACCCATGGCATAGTTAGACCGAACTAATATGTAATGACCGGTGAAACTTCCAAGACCGGTCTCACTCCAAAGTACTGTTTAGACTGATCTAACTTCAATCTTCTGTTGGACCGGACTATCTTCACGGCCTACGGACCGGACTAACTTCAGAATATTCACAAGACCGGAGTAACTTACATGGCCATTTTATTCGGCCCGTTGTACATCGGCTCAAAACGGCCCCTAACCCAGCTCGGCCCAATTTTTACAAAAATTACCCTCTCAGTTGTTCTTGAGTTAGGTCTCACAGATTCATTCAATAAGAATTTACTGATGAAATGGAAAGGAGGCATTTCTAGTCAATTACTGAATTTTTTTTTCCTGATGCTCTAATTCAATATCTTGTTTCTCTTTTAATCTTTATATGGTCATTTTTTTGATCTGTTTGGTTTTCTTCTCAAGTATGTTTTAAAATCAAAAAATCTGAAGAATGGCTCGAGTTACTATTGCACTGAGTGTGTTGGTTTTGCTAATGGAAACTCTGATAATCTCTGTTGGATCTATGAGATCTTCGTGGGACAATCACCGCTACAAGGGAGGTTAGTGTATTACGATATAATAATTCATTTTTTCTGAAGACTCTTGACTAACATTTTTGGTTCAAATTTGCATGATTGTTTAAGGTGGGAAAATGGTTATAATTTTGTATTTAAAGTTTATAGATAGGAAAATGAGAAATAAATGCCATGTTTGTAGTGTATACTGGCTAACCAAATATTTGATGAAGTCCATAAATTAGTAGATTTCTTTAGTATTTATTGAAGTTGGTTATGTGGATTGATTAACTTGTATACGTGCTATTCTTTTCAGGCAGAAAATTCCTTTTTCCATATTGATTCTTCACATGACCTTGGAGTAATTTTCCATGTGCATGGATTTAGACCTTCGATTATGAAATTCCCAGGTGCAGAAACATTTAGTGGAATTGCCAAGTTCAGTGGAACAAAGTTCTCTCTATTTGAAATGATTGTCTTTGATCCTGATTTATGTGATGGTAATTTATGTTAACTTGTGGTTTCCTTCAAGTGATTATATTTTGATAAATTCATTAACAACGTTAATGTTACTTTATTCTAGGTCCTATAAACGTTACTATGGAAAAGGTGATGGATGCATTTTCTGGGGCTCGTGAAATATGCACTTTTGTTCCATATTTGTTATATAATTGTACTGGTTTTCCATTAATTATTTCTGACTGTGCTAATGATATGAAAGGGCATGGATGTGTCATTCCTTCCTGTTATGATTTGGTAGAGAAGGACCGTCTTCTAGGCAAGAAAGATGGTCTGGGTCTTCTATCTTCCTCTTTTGTGCATACCATGCAAATGTTACCTTATTTGAATTATTTTGATGTTGTTGACTTGCTACTTTTCATCCATCCGGCTATTTAATGAGCTATGCTAGTCCACATCACATAATAATTCCAAAACACATATTCTAGGCATACTAAGCAGTAAGCACGATCCTTTTTTATAAGAAATGTCATAGTCACTATATATAAAGATCTGTTATATGTATCATGTACCTTTCTACTGATTAGCTGATTGCTTGTAACCCATCTCATGAGTTGTCACCTCGTGATTTACCATCAACGAACAAAATTTAAATTTAATCTGGTATTGAGGACAAAAAAGTTTTGCATTTGTTTCTTGAACACTATCCACCTTGATAGTTACTTTGGTAGCTCTGGAGTTAGTGGTGCTATACCTTCAACAATTGTTGCTCTACGAAATCTGCAGACAGTGTAAGAGCTTTCTGAACTATCCTTTTTGCATATCTGAGAAACTAAAATATTGTGTTCAGACTAAAATATTGTCACTCTTTTCATTGTGCACTTGAAACATACTCAATATTAATTAACATTTTTTGTCCTTTATTATAGTTTTATTGGTTATGAGTATTACCAAATTATATAAGTCCATCCTTATAATTTTTAATTTTTTTTTGAAAATTATATTACCTGCCCCTTGTTAACAATCATTTTGAAGGTAGAATCTCCATCCATCTCTGAGAACCTCCATTATTTTCATATAATTCTGATTTTTTCTCCAACCCGAAACATTGGCTTAGTATTATTAGAGGTTAGGATGGCAATGAGGCAGGTATGAGTCTTTGACCCCTACCCTCCTCCACCTTTGTTTAGTGAATATTGGACCTTATCCGCCAATCTCTCCTCTCCCCCATCCTTGGCCCTCCCCACATAATATAATCTAGTCTCCGACCCTACTTGCCCTGTTTAGTGTTATGTCTTATATTTTTAGTATTGAGTATTAATAATGTGGTTTTGATAGTTCTAGATGACAATGATTTAACATTGATTTAAGTGTGCGATCAGAGTCAAGGAAGAAAGAAAAGAGCTGCAATATACAATAAAACAGAGACTAGAAGAGAGAAAAAATCCTTAAAATCATTTTATAATTATGTAATTTATATGTCAGGTTTTTTATAGTATGCATAATCGGGTTAGGTTACCCTCCCCAAACTCATTTTATTAGAATCGGGGAGGGTTGGGAACTGTTGGGTCGGGGATTTTTTTGCTATCCCTAATCAGAGGACTGTTTTTGGCATGAACCACAGCTTGACTCGCTGATACACCTGTTTTTTGTGTAGGTCTTCAAAGGCAACAGATATGATGAAACCAATTTACGGAAGCACAGTTCCAGTGCTCAAAGGAGAAAAGTTCAACATGAGAATATTGGTATGTTAAAAGAATCATTTTGCTTAGTAAATAATAATTTGCTGCCTAAAATCCTAAAATTTATCGAAAATAAAATTTGGATTATTAAAATGTGGGGTCATTTTTAATTTAGGTGGATCATTCGATAGTAGAAAGCTTCGCTCAACGCGGGAGGACGTGCATAACTTCGCAGATATATCCAACGAAGGCCATCTATGAGGATGCAAAAAATTTTCTTGTTCAACAATGCTACTGAGGCCAACATCATAGCCTCCCTCAAGATTTGGCAGATGGACTCTGCATATATTCATTCCTATCCTACTGAACTCATAATGTTTAAATGAAAAAATAAAAAAAAAAAAAAAAAAAAAACACTTCTAATGCTCAATCATGTCTCTCCATTGCTCTCTACTTTAGATTGTGTCCTGTCATTTTATCATCATTTTGTGCAAAAAAAAAGAAAAAAAAAATGTAGAGTAGAGCATGAATTAGTCAATATATTATATATTTTTCATCTTTATAAAAGGTATTTTTTTGGAGTTAAATCTCACAGAATTACCACAAATTTTTTTTAACAGTTACATTTTGAAAATAAAAATGACCTATCACGGCGTTTTTAAAACGTCGCTAAATGAGTAGTGACGTCATTGTACAATTATGCAGCACATTTAGCAGCATTTTAAAAAACGCCGCATATACTGATATAGGGACGCTTTTAAAGCGTCATAAAGTTACAGCGACGGCCGCATCTTCGGCGTTTGGTACTAAACATCACAAAAACAATTAGCGGCGTTTTTGAAAGTTATAGCGGCATTTTTTAAACGCCACTAAAAGCTCAATTTCCAACAGTGTTATAAGCCATTATAGCTTCTCCTGCTCTATGTGGAAGTGGAGGTGGAGGTGGAGGTGTCTGTGTCGGTGCAGGTGTATAGTCTCCTGGAGGATTCACCCCAACTTGGAAAGCCATTGTCGCGATAAATGATGCCACGACCATTAATATGTCTCGTTTATTTGACAACCATTCACCTTGGGAGAGATCTTTTGCTTTCATTGCTTTCTCTTTTCAAAAGGTGGCTTTAATTTTTTTCAATTCGACTGTCTTTTCTTCAATTTCTATTATAATGTCATATGCTGTGTACCCACAATTGTTTACTACATTTATTGCCTTTATTCGATGTTCTGTCTTTTTTGCTTTTTCTATTTTTGCAAGCAAATAATCCACAACCTGCAAAATTTATACTCCATTGTCAACATTAATTAGCTAGTAATTTTCCAATAAAATTGTATTTGGTTCATGAATTTGAGAAGAGATTTAAAAAATGAAAGAAAAAATGTATGTGAAATGTAATTATATTTAATTCACATTTTACTTCAATTTTTTCTTGTCCTTCCTAATTTTCTGTTCAAATTTATGAATCAAATACAATTTAAACGTGATAATATAAATGTTCACAAATTTATAGAATAACTTTTTGGGTAAATGAGTATTTCATTATAAAAAAGAACTAGGGCCAAGGAAGTCATGGCTCCCGACTTAAAAAAATCTTTAAAGTCATGTTTAAATGATAGTTATTTCAAACGAAAATGTAATTTTGGACTGCCATGATTTTAGTGTGTGGAATATATAGAATTATTTATTCACATACCCAAAATAAAGTAGTGATCCAATTCTCTCATTCTATCATGAAAGTTTCACATTCCTGAGAAATGTTAAACATTTAAGAATAAAAATAATAATTAAGATCAAAATATTTTTAATTTTATTACTTTGTATTAATTCCTAACAAAATCCAAACATCTGAATAACATCAGCATAGAAAACGTACAAGAAATAAATAAACCTTCTCGTATAATCCTGTTGATCGAGTCTGCGCTCCTCCGTACGTCGTCGCTTTACTCCCTGAAAACACAAACGTGAGCTAGCCGGCGGGTGTGTGCCGGATACTTCTCCGATGTCTAAGTCAGCAAAATAGACAAATAGATAAAAGCTCTGTGTATTCGAGAATCAAAGTTGTGTTACCTCTCCATAGGTGATGTTATGAGCTTTTATAGGTTCCGCGTGACACAATCCCAGTAGGACTCTTACTCCTCCATGTAGTGTCCTCCTATGAATCACATTCCTGAAAGATAATGCTTATCCTCTAACACCCCCACTGCTTAAACCAACTGAGATGGTTTTACCTAGTTTGGATGTCAACACGACCGAGATAACATGGCCATGCTAAAGCCGCATAACAGACCGAGCTCTACCTAGCTCGGTTCTTCCTTTCACTACGTGTACCTTGGTTTCTTCTGTACAAACCATACTAATCCATAGTGTGCTTAGGCTGTGCTAACGAATAGCTAAGTCTTACCGAGCTAACTGCATTATGCCACGACCGAGCTAACTCTGAGTGTGGTGACCGGACTATCCATAACACTCTCTTGGACTGGGATAACAACAATGCCTTTTTGGGGACCGGGCTAACGCCAAGGCTTTTTTTACTCCGCCCTTCTTACTGTGGCCCACAACGGCCCATTAACCAGCTTAACCCAATTTATATATAAATTACCCTCTCAGAAAACTTATTGCTAATAAACTCATTATTAGTAATGATATTTCCATTCCTCCCGTGTGATTCCTGTCATTTAAACATATCAAGGTCTCAAAAAAATTATATAATAACATAATAATATTGCTTGCATGGCCAAAAAAAAAAAATAGTGCGCAAAAAATTAATGACATTAATTTCAGTTATGCAACGACCTTTATCTAAAACATTTTAGTATAATTAACCATTTTATCTATTATACTAGTATTTTAATGAAAATGCAAATGACAGTTCTTTGGATTATAAATAATTTCAGTAGATGTGTAAAAGATTTATGAAAATAATTTTAAAATGTATAAAAAAAACTCAAAATTATTTTTAAATAATAAAACCAAACATATTTATTTTTGTTAACTAAATTCTACAACACACAATTTTATCTGATGTGTGTAAATTTTAAACCTGTACTAATTGTAAAACAATTTAATCGTACCAAAAAATAAATAAATAAAATTTAGCTGGTTATCAAAAAAATTGCCAATATTTAGTTATTTATTTATTTATTTTACTTAAAATTTTAACTACAAAACACATAAATAAGTTATCTAAGATAAGTAGGATTCCAAATACAAAATTTCTTGAATTATATAATTTCTTAGCTAATCATAAAAAGCTACATACTTGAGATGCAAGAGCTCCTACATCTCGGATTGAAGAAAAACCTTCACCTACATAAAATGTGCATTAGAGTTCTAACATTTTTAATATTATTTTATCTTTACAATCCCTGTTTTTAACAACAAATTAAACTATATTCAAAATTTAATACATAAATTTAATTATGGTAGAAAATACTATTTAGTGCTATGGAAACTTCAATGATATATTGGCCAATCATTAACTTCAAGAATGGATAAATGACGGACTTAGGTGGATTGGTTAGAACTCTTGCACTTCGTTAGGAGGTCAGTAGTTTGAATTTCTCTACTTAGGTGTGAGTCTTATTTCCTGTATATTAATTGAGATTTTCTCTTCTATTTTGAGATTTTTTTTATTAAAAAAAAATTATATTGTATTTAATTTTTAATATTATGATTGTAATTCAGTGTAACATCTTATATGAATCAAATTTAAAATGAAATAAAAAAATTAACTTCAAGAATGGCTAAAGAAAAATTGAAGAGCCATTTAAAATAGCTGTGAACCTCTTTTAAGAAATAACTTTTTTATTTATGTCAAAAAGTCAGATATTAATAAATAAAAATGTATTTGAGCCTAGTCTAAAACAAATATAATTATTGGCCAGCAATGTTAAGTATCATAAAAAAAATTTCATAAAAATAATCATAAAAGTCTTATGACTCTTGAATTACACTTAAAATAAAATATCACAAATTAATCAATGTAATCTAAAGATCATAATTTTTTTATGAAATTTTTTTTATAATCCTTAACTTTTCTCGGATACCTCGAATTCTTTATTCCTGACAGCTTAGATGCAATATGGTATTACCAGCAACATCCTTGGCATTCATCAATTCATGAGGGGTATACAGGCTTTCTTCAAACAACTTGTCCAAGACCTCCTTCTTACCTTTCATGGCTGCAAGATGGAGCGGGGTTCTAGCATCTCCATCAAGAGATGTGCACATGTCACGATTTTTCGATACGAGTGCTTGTACAATGTCAAGATGGCCTTGAGCAGATGCCAAGTGAAGAGGAGACCATCGTCGCGAACCCAGCACTTCAACAAGTCCCGGACTTTCCTCTAGAATTGCTTCGACAAATTTTAATCGCCCGTGGTATGCTGCAACGTGTAGAGGAGTGTGAATGAAACAACCCACCTTAATCCTATCAAGAATCTTTGGATCTTCTTTCAGTATTCCTCTGAATGCTTCTAATTTATCTTCCCCTTCAACAATCGCTTCATGGAGCTCCTGGAGCTGTTGTTCCATTCTCCCTCCTCCATCCTCAATCTCTCCTTCTCTCTCGCTCCTCTCTCTCTCTCGCTCTCTCTCTCTGTCTCTTGTTTAATTGTATCATGGACCGAGGCCTAACCAGACACATATATATGTATACACTTTTTGGTTGACTAACTGTTCTAGGTCAATTTTTAGGTTATGTTTGACTATCTTAAATAAGTACATATTTTTATTTTTTTTCTATTATATCATCTCTCTATTTTTCTGCACATTTTTCGTAAAAAACAACTTCTTAATATTTTTCAGAGTTTGTTAAAGACGTGCAAAGAGATGTAACCAAATTGTCAATTTTTTTTGTTTTTTTTAATCGCCAAAAATTAATGTATTAGACTAGTATTTATGAAAATTAATCTCCGCACATTGCAAAATATCGATGCTTGTCTCCTAAATTCAACTTTCACTTGAGAACGAGTTGAAACATATGGGCACT